AGAAGGGGCCGGGCGGTGGTGGCGCACGCCTTTAATCCCAGCACTCGGGAGGCAGAGCCAGGCGGAAATCTGTGAGTTCGAGGCCAGCCTGGGCTACCAAGTGAGTTCCAGGAAAGGTGCAAAGCTATACAGAGAAACCCTGTCTCGAAAAAACCAAAAAAAAAAAAAAAAAAAAAAAGATGCAGAAGGGATTTTTGGCTGGGAAAAGGTGACGCTCTCAACATTAGGTTGCTTCAGGCAGAGGTATCATTTGCATCCAACTGGGATGGCTAGTACTCAGCTGCATGGCCTCCAAAGTTAGTCATTTTTTTTTCAAAAGAGATTTATTTTTATTTTATGAGTGCTTTGCCTACATGTATGTATGTTCACTGTGTTTACTCCTGATGCCCTCGGAAGCCAGAAGAGGACACTGGGACTGGAGTCTAGGATAGTTGTAAGCCGATGTGTGGGTGCTGGGAGCTGAACTTGGGTCCTTTGCAAGATCAGCAGATGCTCTTAAATGTGAAGCTGCCCCTTTAGCCCTGCCCTCCATCAGTAATTCTCAAAAGTAACAGCATGTAAAGGGCCAGCAAAGGTGGCTCCGTGGGCAAGGGTGCCTTCTGACAAGCCCAACGACTGACATTTGATCCCTGGGACCCACATGGTGGAAGGAAAGAACCAATCCCCAAAAGTTGTCCTCTGCCCCCGACACATGTGCTGTGGTCCACAAGTGTGGCCCCCCACACAATTAATGTAGTAAAAAATTAAAAATAAAAGCAAGTGAAGTTGTAGGGTATACTCAAGTGTACCCTGGTTACAAGAGGACCAGAAATAAGCTGCAGCCTGACTGTGCTGCCTAGTTCACAGCGACTAGTGGGAAGCAGGGGGATTTTGGAGGATGCTCTGCCACAATTCCAGTCCCATGTAAAACTGGCCTGAGCTCAATTCCTTTCCACGTTAGATGAGCCTCTCTGAGAAAGGCTGATAACGTTCGGTGGTAAAATTGTAAGTGCTTTACTTCTTCCGTGGTGGCGGCATACCTCGCGGTGGTCAGGTGTAATCGGAGGATTCCAGCCAGCCCAGACAGGTGATGTGCGATCCTTGGATGATAAAGACACAGATCAGGGAAGAGTAAGGAGAACAGTAAGTGAGAGTCAAGGCACGCTTCACTGTTAGTGGTGGACTGACTTTGCAAAGACAGTCCTCTACATTTGTAGCCACAGCTACAACGTGGAAAAGAGGCAAGAGGTCTAATCCTAAGATTCTTAACCACAGCAGATTAGACACTTCCTGTCAACCAACAGTGGCATGCAGCCCGTTTATGATCTGTTTTGGTTGGTTGTCCCCATGGGAGCTTATTTAAAATTGGGCCAATCGCTCACATTTAAATCAGAAACTTTCCCGTGAAATTGTATACAAGTCATGCCAAATGGGCCAGCTTTTCTCTACGAAAGCTGGGCAGTGAGTGGGCTTGGAGGGTGAGAGAGGCACGGTAACTTCCTAGTTTCAATGAGACCCAAGCGCTTGTCTTTCTCATCACCCCCTACCACTTGCATGTCCGGCTCTACTGTCTAAGGTTTGGCCTTTTATTAGCTCATTCCAACCAAATCTCAACCCCACACACTAGTCACTTGCTACCCTGTAGTGAACCCGAAAGCAAAGACATCTAGGTTTCCTGGGTTCTGCACCCGCTACATCTGTAATGTAAGCTGAATTATCTGAAGCAGTAGGAGAGTGTACTGGGTTAGCTGTGCTTGAGCGGCCACCGGGGAGCAGAGAGGTGAACAGACCTCAGGGAAATCACAATGGATGTCAAAATGTCCATGAGGGTACCAGGAGCAGTTCTATAGGTTTGGCATGGAAATAGCATAGTGATCAAGTGATTGGTCAGATGAGATTTGACCAGCAAGGAATGAAAACCCAGCTTCTTGTTCATGACTTAGCTCTTTGAAGATGCTGTAGGCTTACTCATTTTATGGGTTTGGACTTAAAGGGATTTTTAGTGATGGATAAGTACTGTTAATTTCTATTTAATAAAACTTCCTTTTAGAACATTGTTGGCCCTCTTATTACAAGCATCGAGTCCTGTCACATACTGGACTGTATTGAGCTCTCCAATGGGTTTCTTTAAAAAACAAAATATTTTGTTATTTAATGCATATGGCTATTCTGCTGGCATGTATGCGCACAACATGTCTGCCCGGAGCCTTCGGAAGCCAGGGGAGAGTTGCAGGTGCCCTGAAACTGGAGTTACAGACTGTTGTGAGCTGCCATGTGGGTGCTGGGAATTGAATCCAGGTCTTGTGGAAAGGCGATCGGTGCTCTTAACTGCTGAGCCATGTCTCCAGACCTCCAGTGGCTTTCTGATGGAACTTGAGCCAACGTCACTGTGATGTCTTTGTACTGGACAGTTGAGTTTCAGAATTTCTGGGCACTCAGGAGAATCAAAACAGCTTAAATTGCCCGCTATGAGGGATGCTGCCATTGTGTGTTCTGACTCCAAAATGCTCCTTAAACTTTGTGTAGTGACGGTGACTCAGCAGAGGGATTGAGGTGTAAAATAGCCTTGGATGGTCCTAGTCCACCAGGTCAAATTTCTGTCTGCCTGTATTCAGAAAACCAAAAATCAGGAAATTAATACAAGACCTCGCCCCCTCCACATACACACATAATTTCAGTCTAAAGGAAAAGAATCTATAGTCCCAGGGCTTAAACTCTTCAATCTCATTCTTCTGCTGTTACCATGAGGCTGCTTTGGGACTGCATGGACTGTAGGAGGACCATGTTCCAGCCCCTAAAAAAGTGAAACCAAGAAGTAGAGGGATAAACAGTAAAGTTTCATACTCACATCTGCTTGTTCAGACACTAATCATTTGATCACACTTAGCTGCAAGGGATGCTGGGAAATGTTATCTTTTTTTTTTGTTTTGTTTTATTTTGTTTTGTTTTTCGAGACAGGGTTTCTCAGGGTAGCTTTGAGCCTTTCCTGGAACTTGCTTTGTAGACCAGGCTGGCCTCGAACTCACAGAGATCTGCCTGGCTCTGCCTCCCAAGTTCTGGGATTAAACCATGCACCACCATCACCCAGTGGGAAATGTTGTCTTTTAAAAAAATATTTATTTTAGCCATGCAGTGGGAGTCCCACACCTTTAATCCCAGAACTCAAGAGGAAGAGGTAGGCAGACCTCTGTGAGTTCAAGGCTAGCTTGGTCTACAAAGCAAGTTCCAGGACAGCCAGGGCTGCTATACGGAGAAACCCTATCTTGAAAAACCAAAAACCAAACACACAAAAAAATTATTTATTTTTAATTATGTGTATGTCCATGCATCTCTATGTGGGCATATACTCATGAGTGGCAGTGCTGGAGGAGGCCAGAGGCTTCAGATCCCTGGAACTGGAGTTATAGGCAGTTGTGAGTGATCCACTGTGGGTAGTGGGAACCAAACTCAGGTCCTCTGCCAGAGCAGTGTGTGCTGTTAACCACAGAGCCATTTTTCCAGCCTAGGAATGTTATCGTTACCAGAGAAACCGTGTAACCACCTGAAACCTGCATTATTGGAAAGGGGAAAATAGAACTGGCTTACCACCGCCTGTAACTCCAGCTCCCGGGGGATCTGACGCCTCTAGCCTTCGAAGGTACCTGCCCTCGTGTGCACATTACCCCTCCCTGAAACACACAATTAAAAACAATCAAAGCACATCTTCAAAAAGCAGAAAATAAATGTAGGAGGAGAACCTAGCAATTGTGGAGTAGCCAGCATACAAGGGAACATATTAATATTTTTCTTATGTTTCTCTTTAGTCTCAGTCTTTGACAAAATTAGGCTAGTGATTAACTGCTACCATTAAACTTTTTCTTAAAACTCTGCTTGTTGACCTGCTGTGTGAAACACCCCACAGAGTTTGTAGTCTTGTCTAAGGGACAGACAGCAGACACGTAAAAGAACAAATAATCACAAGTGTTGATCAGTTTTACATAGGAAAATGATGTGGGGGACAAAGAGTCATGAAAGGGAAGGTAGATGGTCCTGTGGTGGAGGAGCGTGGAGCAGCACATCAGTGAAGGTAGACAGTATTTAAATATGCCAAGAAGGAAAGCATTCGGTGCTCTTGGAATACAGGCAGCCAGCGTGGTTGTAGACAGTGGGTGTGATGGAGGTGGACAGTGGGTGTGATGGAGGTGCACAGTGTGTGTGATGGAGGTGGACAGTGGGTGTGATGGAGGTGGACAGTGGATGTGAGGGGAGGTGGACAGTGTGTGTGATGGAGGTGGACAGTGGGTGTGAGGGAGGTGGACAGTGGGTGTGATGGAGGTGGACAGTGAGTGTGATGGAGGTGGACAGTGGGTGTGATGGAGGTGGACAGTGGGTGTGGTGGAGGTGGACAGTGGGTGTGATGGAGGTGGACAGTGGGTGTGATGGAAGTGGACAGTGGGTGTGAGGGGAGGTGGACAGTGGGTGTGAGGGAGGTGGACAGTGGGTGTGATGGAGGTGGACAGTGGGTGTGAGGGGAGGTGGACAGTGGGTGTGAGGGAGGTGGACAGTGGGTGTGATGGACAGTGGGTGTGATGGAGGTGGACAGTGGGTGTGAGGGGAGGTGGACAGTGGGTGTGATGGAGGTGGACAGTGGGTGTGATGGAGGTGGACAGTGGGTGTGAGGGCATGTGGACAGTGGGTGTGATGGAGGTGGACAGTGGGTGTGAGGGAGGTGGACAGTGGGTGTGAGGGAGGTGGACAGTGGGTGTGAGGGGAGGTGGACAGTGGGTGTGATGGAGGTGGACAGTGGGTGTGATGGAGGTGGACAGTGGGTGTGAGGGGAGGTGGACAGTGGGTGTGAGGGGAGGTGGACAGTGGGTGTGAGGGGAGGTGGACAGTGGGTGTGATGGAGGTGGACAGTGGGTGTGGTGGAGGTAGACAGTGTGTGTGATGGAGGTGGACAGTGGGTGTGAGGGGAGGTGGACAGTGGGTGTGATGGAGGTGGACAGTGGGTGTGATGGAGGTGGACAGTGGGTGTGTTTGAGGTGGACAGTGGGTATGAGGGTGGGTGTGATGGAGGTGGACAGTGGGTATGATTCTTTGGGAATTTCACACCATACATTCCAATCCCGCTCACCTCTCAGTCCCTCCATGTCCATCCTTTACCTCTGCAGCGCGCCCCCCCAAATTAATTAAAAACAAAACAACAGAAAAACCCCACCTTGCTCCTTCATCTTTCCAACATCTCTTCATCCATCCTAGTGGCATCGGGAGCTGCGGGGTGTCACACAGTACACTCTTTTGTCCAATCAGCTCCACCCACAAAATGTTCATTGCAATGAGTCATTGCTCTGGTTCAAGGCCTCTGGCACACCATCATCACTGAACCCTCGCCAAAACTCCTCTTGGATATCCGGCTGTTGCCCTGAGTCATAGAGATCCTGTGGTTATCATTCCGCAGGAACAGTCCCTTCACACATTCTAGGAGGTCATAGATGGGGTAGAAGCTGGGGTGGGCCAACCCAAGGCCCAGAGTGTGTAGACCCTCCTCTTTTAACAACCGTTACATCATTCAGAGTAGGCATTTCTTTTCTCCTCTGTCCTAAGAAATCAACAGGTGCATACTGGCTTTCTGGTACGTGTCCAACCCACCAGTGGCGAAGAAGTTTAAGGCAATTCCTGACCTTTACAAGTTTATAGTCTGCCTGTGGGGATGAATGAGAGCTCACGATGCCACTTACAATCCTTGACATGAAGCGCTTCATAACTAAGTACTAAAAGTATAGAAGACATGGCAGGTGTTATGGAACCCCCCACACCCCAATACTGGGGTTAAAGGCAATGGCCATGCCTGGCTTTCATATGGGTGTTAGGGATTTGAACTCAGGTCCTCTGGACGCATCCACCGAGCCATCTCCCCAGGCCCTGGCATACACTGTTGTTGTTACTTGTAAAGACAATTTATTTGGTATTGGGGAGAACTCTGCAATGCCCCTCCTCTCCTCAACTCACACAAACTGAGTGGCAGAGAAGTGTTTGCCTGGAAAGAAAATGTGGATGCTGTCCAGGAAGTGAAACCAAGTTCAACTAGATTCTTCGTTGTTGTTTTGTTTTTTTCAAGACAGGGTCTCACTATGTAATTCTGACTGTCCTGGACCTCACTCTGTAGACCAGGCTGGCCTTGAACTCACAGAGATCTGCTTGACTCTGCTTCCCAAGGGCTGGAATTAAAGGCATTCGCCACTATGCCCAGCTAGTTTCAACTAGACTCTTAAAAAATGAAGGACACAGGGCCCTGGAGACCACCCATGGTCTCACTGTAACCCCTTCATACCTTATAAAAGTCTTGAACCAAGTGAAGGAGGAAGGTGAAGCAGAGTCTCTTCTATTTTCTACTGGCCTTGAGTAATCCAACTAACGTCCACTAATGTCTGTCTCCCCCCGGGCTTTTAGTACAGCAGTGAGCAGACTGACTTAAGATCTGACAACACCGGGTGTCCACCTGTGGTTGATTAAGCTCTGTCTGTCTGTCTTTCTGAAGAAGTGGAATGCACCCAAGGCCAGTGGCAAGTGTCTCGGCAACAGACTCTCAGCAAGGGCTGACGCCATTTTTTTTCACCTGTCAACTCTGGAGAGGTCTTGCTCTGATTGGCTGGCAGACAGTGGATGTGAATCTGAGGTTTGTTCTAATGTCTCTGAGAAAGCCTCCCAGAGTATATCTGAGGCTGTAGTTGGCAAAAACACTAGGCTGCTTCCTTGGGCCATATCTGTGTCTTTGACATGTTCATGCTTGGTTTGTGTTACACATTACATTGCTTTGTCTGGTATCCATGTTTGGTGGAATTACTTAGTTTTTTGTTTGTTTGCCTTATTTTGTTTGTTCCTTGTTTTTTGAGACAGGTTGTATCCTTGGCTGTCCTGGAACTCACTTTGTAGACCAGGCTGGCCTCAAACTCGCAGATCTGCCTACCTCCATCTCCTGAGTGCTGGGATTAAAGGTGTGTACCACTACTGCCTGGTTTATGTTTGATTTTTAATATAATATTTATTTAAAAATTTTTTAAAAAATTTATATATACAATTTATTTTGATTATACTTAAGCCCCGCTCTGCCCCTTAACACCTCCTAGATGTACCCCATGCACTTTTAACAATCAATTTTAAATTTGGTAGAGGAGACAAAAGGCCCTCTTCTTATACATATATATATATATATATGTACATACATGCATGTATGTGTATATATATATATATATATATATATATATATATATATATATATATATTTGGTTTTTCAAGACAGAGTTTTCTCTGTGTAGCTTTTTTTTTTTTTTTTTTTTTTTTTTTTTTTTTTTTTTTTTGGTTTTTCGAGACAGGGTTTCTCTGTGTAGCTTTGCGCCTGTCCTGGAACTCACTTGGTAGCCCAGGCTGGCCTCGAACTCACAGAGATCCGCCTGGCTCTGCCTCCCGAGTGCTGGGATTAAAGGCGTGCGCCACCACCGCCCGGCCTCTGTGTAGCTTTATGCCTTTCCTGGATCTCACTCTGTAGACCAGGCTGGCCTCGAACTCACAGAGATCCGCCTGGCTTTGCCTCCCAAGTGCTGGGATTAAAGGTGTGTGCCACCACCGCCCAGCCCTCTTGTTATATATTACTATTAATAAGCATAGTATGAAAAATAGCTTATAAACTACAGTGACAGCCTCTACTGATATGGAAGTCTCTATTTACCAAAAACTTCCCATTTTCAAATTGTTGTATTTATTACAAATATTTCATTATTTATTACAAATTATTTATTATTTCAAATTATTTATTATATTATTATTGTTTATTCAGAATTGTTGGAGTCTATGTACAACCCTGCCTTCCCAGGGCTCCCAAGCTGTATGCTCCCAGTCGCTCTGGGTTTCCAGTTTCCTGTTGCTATTTTTGTTCCTAATTCTCCAGTCCCTCACTTCCTTCTTGTTCTGTCTGAGCATCTCCTTGGCTCTGATGCCGGGTGCACACCCTCATTTATTTTTTAATTTACCTTATTTGTTTTGAATGGTCTCAGTGTCTAGTGGACTGGCCCAGTGGGCACGGCTGAGGTGGAGAGTGGATGTGGATGAGCAGACAGATATACATCCTAGAATGCCATTCAGTCTGAAGTAAAACCCATGTCTAGAATGATGCATCTTTGATATTACCATGTGACAGGAAGGACTCTGTATCATATTTCTTCAAATACTAACACACACAGCTGGTTTTGGTTTTTGTTTTCATTTCTGTATTCCCAAACTTTGGGTGCATTTATTTTCCATGGAATGACAATTTTGACCTTCCAAGCAGTAGATAATTGCCCTTTGCCCTTTGCCCTTTGACTATCCTCTAGTTGATTTTCTTTTGTGATTCCCCAATGGATAAGCAGATTGTTGAGTCTTGTCTTTATATCTTAAACCCTCATTTAATCAACTGCCTGAAATTAATTAGGTGCTTATAGACAGCATTCTTTTTTTTTTTTTTTTTTTTTTGGTTTTTCGAGACAGGGTTTCTCTGTGTAGCTTTGCGCCTTTCCTGGGACTCATTTGGTAGCCCAGGCTGGCCTCGAACTCACAGAGATCCGTCTGGCTCTGCCTCCCGAGTGCTGGGATTAAAGGCATGCGCCACCACCGCCCAGCGATAGCATTCTTTTTTAACATTTTTTTATGGAGAAAATTTTTTCATTCATTTTACACACCAAAGATCCCCCTCTTCCCTCCTCCCACCCCACCCCCTAGCCATCTCCCCCAACCCATCCCCCCAACTCCCTCCCACAAAAAGGCAAGGCCTCCCATGTGGAGGCACATTCAGTAGAGGCAAGTCCAAGCCCTTCCCCCTGCCTCAAGGCTGCACCAGGTGTCCAATCATAGGTAGTGGGCTCCACAAAGCCGGCTCATGCACCAGAGATGGATTCTGATCCTACCACCAGGGGGGCCTCCCAAGCAGATCAAGCCATACAACTGTCTCACCATGCAAAGGGCCTAGTCCAGTCCCATGCAGGCTCCACAGCCATTGATCCAACTTTCATTAGTTCCCTCTAGTTTGGTTTGGGGGTCCCTGCATGTTTCTCCATCATGGTCCTGATACACTTGCTCATAGAATCCTTCTCTCTCTTTGATTGGACTCCTGGAACTCTGTCTAGTGATTGGCTGTGGATCTCTGCATTTGCTTCCATCAGTCTGGAGAAAAGTTCTGTGATGACAGGGTATTCACCGGTCTGATCTCTGGGGCAAGTCAGTTCAGTTCAGGCACCCTCTCCATAATTGCCAGGAATCCCCAAGGATGACCCCAGCCTGGGCTACTAGATAGCATTCTTAAAGGTGAGGCCTAGAGGAAGCTATTCTAACCCCTTTATCACCTGATCATGCCTTAGAGGCCTCACTAAACACCTTGAACCCACAGGTTCTCATCACAGAAGGCACTGGGTTTATGGTGTGTTACTTGCACATACATAATAAATAAATTCGAGTTCTTAAAAAAAATCATTAAACCAAGATAACAACAGAAAAGAATGCAATCAGGATATATGGTATGAAAATAATTTAAAATTTAAAAAATTGCACTGATATTACTCCTGCAAAAAAAGTTAATAAGGAACCTGGATGGAGTTTTCAGTTATGAATGAAGGTACACAGAGGAAGCGCCGAGAAACGCTGAGAAAAGCTGAGAAACGCTTTTGCTTAAATCTAGCTGATCTCCCAGGTTGTCGGGCTGTGAATTCACTGGGCCAAGGTGTTTTGGAGCCTTGGCCCAGTGAATTCACAGGAAGAGTCAGAGCAGACTTCCCAGAGCAAACAGAGCCAAGAACCCAACATGGCAGTGCTGGAGGGCTCTCAGGAATCAGCGAGCTAAGTCAGAGCTCCTCACCAAAACGGCCCAACGCTGAGGGACTACATGGAGATGCTGGGAAGACATGGTTCTCCCTAAGGCTAGGGATTCCAATTTTCCTAGTTAAAAATGTGTATGGGGGCCGTTGTGGTGGCGCACGCCTTTAATCCCAGCCCTGGGGGTGGGGTGGGGTGGGCAGAGGCAGGAGGAGCTCTGTGAGTTCGAGGCCAGCCTGGTCTACAGCGCTCGTTCCAGGACAGCCAGGGCTACACAGAGAAACCCTGTCTTGAAAAACAAAACAAAACAAAACAAAACAAGGCTTCTTTAAAAAAAGCAAACAAAGGCTCTTCCTTATTTGCCTGGCCTCTTTTCAGATGCAATGGCCAGAAAGTTCCACTGGGTGGCACTGTTATAGACAAAAAGATGTAGGGCCCATTTCTAAGAACAGGGAGATTTGAACAGATTCCTATTTAATATTAATTTAATTAATAATGATGTTAAAGAATGGCTTTTAAAATTACATGGAGTATTGCTATTATGAAGTTTAGAAATTCGTGTGTGTGTGTGTGTGTGTGTGTGTGTGTGTGTGTGTGTGTGTGTGTGTGTGTGTGTTTGGGAGGGGGTGTTGTTTATGGCAGAGGATGGTTTTAGGGGTATTGGTTCTTTCCTTCTGGGGATCCAACTCAGATTTTCAGGCACAATGCTACCTTTACCCTCTGAGCCATCTTATTGCCCTACTGTGAGCTTGTTTACTTTATTTTACATATTGAAGTAGAAATGAAATGAGGTGCTTAGGATTTGTTGTTAAATACTATGAGGAAACAAGATTGACCTAGAATAGCTTTATTATTGTTGAAATGGGGTGTTGGGTGCCAGGAAGATACATTAAAGTATTTCTTACTTCTATCTAAGTTTGCCATCTTTTATAATAAAAAGGTCCCCCGTTGTAAGTGTTCAACATCTACTATAATAACAGTTTTCTTTTCTTTTTCTCTTTGGAAGACTGCCAGCAGCTGGTTACCTAAGTATGCCAGGCTGGATGTTGCTGATGTCACTCTGTATCAGCAACAGTCACAGTAGCCCCTGGAATGGCTCAAACTCACAAATGGCTTGCAACCCCCCGCCCCCCCAGAGGGCGGCTGAGTTTCAAAGCCAGAGTTCCTCTGTCTTGATTGTCTTGGCATGCCTTGGCTTAACATTTTAAGCTCCAGATAAAGCCACTAATCTTCTCCTAGAACAGGAGTTCTCAACATGTGTATAGTGACCCCTTTTGGGGGGGGTGTCAAACAACCCTTTCACGGGGGTTGAATATCAGATCTCCTGCATATCAGATATTTACATTATAATTCATAACAGCAGCAAAATTATAGTTATGAAGTAACAACAAAAATAATTTTATGGTTAGGGTGTCGCCACAGCATGAGGAACTGGATTTAAAGGGTCACGGTATTAGAAAGGTGGAGACCCGCTGGCCTAGAAAATCAATATTAGCCCAAGGTGATATTGCAAACGTAAGTGGGATGCCCGCATTTTCTCTATAAGATGCTCATTCTTTTCTATTCTTTCTGGATTACCTGCAGGACAAGAGAAGACGGGTTGTTGAAAGTGACTCTTCCAGGTTCCTGCAACTTTCTGAGGGCGTGTTGGACTAGCAGGCGGGCTTTCCACACAGCAAGGTAGATTAGTTAGTGAGGTTTCACTGCTCTTCTTCCAATTGGGTACCGTTGGGATGGATTCTTGGCAGTCAGAAGTACAAAGTACTGACCCCAGCCATGTCATTCTCCATCTATGATAAGAGTAAGTTGTTTTTTTTTTTTTTTTTTTTTTTTTTTTTTTTTTTTTTCAAGACAGGGTTTCTCTGTGTAGTTTTTGGTACCTGTCCTGGATCTCGCTCTGTAGACCAGGCTGGCCTCAAACTCACAGAGATCCGCCTGGCTCTGCCTCCCGAGTGCTGGGATTAAAGGCGTACGCCACTGCCGCCTGGCTAGAGAGCAAGATTGGTTTTAACTCCTGCCTGTGGACTTCCTCAATAATTTTCTTATACTCTGTACCCTTTAACGGGACGTATGAGTTTTTTGTAATACCATACGTTTACGAATGCCAAAAGTAATGCTAAAATTTTATTTCTCATCTGTTACTGAAAGGGGATTTCCATGGACTCCTCCCTCCTCTGCCGGTTTCCCGGTTTCTCTCCAGCCTGCCGTCTTTGACTCCAGCTGATGCTTTGCCCGTCTGTCTTTCAGGCTGCACGCATCCTGGGGGGCATGTCTGCATAGTCCTTTCCAGGTAGGAGCCGTGTGCTGCATGGAGCGTGAGTTTGCTCAAGCGAGTCAAACCGTCTAACGTAAGCTCGGCTAGTTCTCAGGACTGGGATGGAAGAGTCAGTACCGGCGGAAAGCCAGGGCCAGCTCCCAAGCCCCCACCATGGCTCACTGAGGAGGGCAGTGGCTGCTGCCCTGGCCCTGGATGGGGAGTCCACACTGGGCCGCAGGAAGAAGAAGAGGAAAGAGTCTCGCCCAGAATCCATCATCATCTACCGGTCAGATAATGAGAAGATGGATGAGGAGCCTGAAGAATCAGAAGGCGGAGATCGGCCCAAAGAGGAGGAGGGGGAGGATTTCCTGGACTATCCTGTAGATGATGGTGAGTCTCTCTGGAGTCCCTTGTTCAAAGTCATAGGAAGAAAACTGTTGGTTATTTTTACTCTTTATCTCTTTGGGGGCCCACCACCTAGCTCCCAAATAAATCACACATGGAGACTCATTCTTAATTATGAATGCCCAGCCTTAGCTTGGCTTGTTTCTTGCCAGCTTTCCTTAACTTATCCCATCTACCTTTTGCCTCTGGGCTTTTCCTTTCTCTATTCATTTATACCTTTCTTTCTTACTCCATGGCTTGCTATGTAGCTGGGTCGCTGATTCCTGGAGTCCTCCTTCTCTGGCTACTTCCTCTTTTTCCTAGCTCTCTCCTCCCCCAGATTTCTCCTTCTATTAGTTCTTTCTGCCTGCCAGCCCCACCTATCCTTTCTCCTGGCCGTTCAGCTCTTTATTAGACCATCAAGTGTTTTAGACAGGCACAGTAACACAGCTTCACAGAGTTAAAAACAATTGCAACATAAACAAAAAGTAACACACTTTAAAATAATATTCTACAACAGAAAACCAAATCAGGGGCTGGAGAGATGGCTCAGAGGTTGAGAGCACTGACTGCTCTTCCAGAGGTCCTGAGTTCAATTCCCAGCAACCACGTGGTGGCTCACAACCATCTGTAATGAGATCTGGCGCCCTCTTCTGACCTGCAGGGATGCGTGCAGACAGAATATTGTATACATAATAAATAAATAAATCTTTAAAAAAAAAAAAAAAGAAAAGAAAACCAAATCAGGGTCTGCCCTCCAGGAGACAGGCACCTGCTCACTGGCCTTTTTCTTTTGGGTGGTGGGTTTCTTGAGCTGTTGCAGTCTTCATTAATTAAACTGACAACAGTTACTTAGAGCCTGCAACACTGTGTTCTGGGTGAGATGGGATCTCCACCCTTTCACAACTGCTGCTGTAAGAGAAGAAGCTGATTTATAGATTAATTACTTGACATATATGAGATAAAGAGCAACAGTTGTTACCTTTCATAATAATTATGAAAATGCAGCCAGGAGTGGTGGCTTATACCTATAATCCCAGCATTTGGGAATCCGGGATTGAGGTATAAGGGTGATGAATTGGACGTCATCCTGGGCTATACAGTGAGACTATGTCTCATAAAACAAAAAGTAAATCACCACCACCAATAAATCAAGAAACTATGTCTTAATTAGGGTTTCTATTGCTGCAACAAAGGAAATTAGGACAGGAACTCAAACAGGGTAGGAACCTGGAGACAGGAGCTGATGCAGAGGCCATGGATGGGTGCTGCTTACTGGATTGCTTCTCACGGCTTGTTCAGACTGCTTTCTTATAGAACCCAGGACCACCAGCCCTGGGATGGAACTACCCACAATGGGCTGGGCCTTCCCCCATCAATCATTAATTAAGAAGATACTCATTTCAGCCGTGGTGGCTCATGCCTTTAGTCCCAGCACTGGGAGGCAGAGCCAGGTGGATGTCTGTGAGTTCGAGTCCAGCCTGGTTTACAGAGCTAGTTCCAGGACAGCCAGTGCTACACAGAGAAACCTTGTATCAAAAAAACATAAAAACAAGCCAGGCGGTGGTGGTGTACACCTTTAATCCCAGAACTCGGGAGGCAGAGCCAGGTGGATCTCTGTGAGTTTGAGGCCAGTCTGGGCTACAGAGTGAGATCCGGGACAGGCACCAAAACTACATGGAGAAACCCTGTCTCAAAAAACCAAAAAAAACCCCAAAAACCAAAAAACAAAAACAAAAAAAAACAAAACCAAATACCAAAAATCAAAACAACAACACCCCCCCCAAAAAAACCCAAAACGAAACAAAACAAAAAAACAAACAAACCCCAAAACAACAACAAAAAGCAAACAAACAAAAAACAAAAAGAAAATACCTTACAGTCAGATCTTTTTTTTTTAATTATATATGTTTAGCGTGTGTGTGTGTGTGTGTGTGTGTGTGTGTGTGTGTGTGTGTGTGTGTGTTTGTGTGTGTGGGTGTGGTGTGTGCAGTGAGTTATATTATTTATAGCTTACATATAAGAGCTAGGGTGTTTACAGGCATGAGAGAATGCCCCATCTCAGGGAAACACAGGAAGGGGCTAGGAATGAGAAGGGAGGGGGCGGACTCTTCCCTCGGTGTGTACACATATACACACACACACACACACACACATATATATACACATATATACACACATATACACACACATATATACACACAGGTGAATACTCATAAATAATACTGCTGCCATAGCACTTGTTAACCAGAACCAGGATCATGGTCAAGTGGTGACTGGAGAGACTGTGTCGAGGCTGGGGTCCAGAAAAATGGAGCGACAACAGGAAGAAACGAGTTAACCATGCTCCGAGCTGTGTCAGGGCCCACGCATGTGGAGTCACCCGCTCTCTGTGGGAGCAGTCACAACCGAGAGTGCCCTCCGCGGGAGGTCCGTTTTAAGTCTGCCGCTGACTCACTGGATCTATTACTCCTCCTCAGGCCTGGCCTGAGAGCGGCGCTGAGATGAAATCTGAGCTCCTCAGTTCCTAAGGCTCCTCTCCCTTGTGCCCCGCAGGTGTGTGGAACATGCCTTTGGACAGCCGCTACGTCACACTAACTGGGACCATCACCCGAGGGAAGAAAAAGGGTCAGGTGGTGGATATCCATGTCACTTTGACGGAGAAGGAGCTGCGGGAACTGACCAGACCCAAGGAGCTGTCAAGGGAAGCCGCCCCGGAGGGAGGAAGGGCCTGCGAGGTGGGGGCCGACCAGGGCCCGCACGTGGTCCTCTGGACACTGGTCTGCCTCCCCGTGGTCTTCGTCCTTTCTTTCGTGGTGTCATTCTACTACGGCACCATCACCTGGTACAACATCTTCCTCGTGTACAACGAGGAGAGGACCTTCTGGCACAAGATTTCCTACTGCCCCTGCCTCATTCTCCTCTACCCGGTGCTCATCATGGCCATGGCCTCCTCCCTGGGACTCTATGCCGCCGTGGTCCAGCTCTCGTGGTCTTGGGGAGCATGGTGGCGAGCTGCCTGTGACATGGAGAAAGGCTTCTGTGGCTGGCTCTGCAGCAAGCTGGGGCTGGAGGACTGTTCTCCCTACAGCATTGTGGAGCTGCTGGAGTCTGACAACATGTCGGGCAATCTCTCCAACAAGGACCCCATCCAGGAAGTAGAAACCTCCACTGTCTAAACCGCCAGTGACCTCTTTCCCAGGCCCGCGTAGTCCACTGGTCATGCTACAGTTCTACCAGGTTCTTTCCTTAAAACTATCCAGTACCCTCTACAGTCCTGGAAAATCCTAGCTCGCACTGGTCCGTTCCACCATCTTCGTGATCCAACAGGGCAGAAACCAGAAAGGTGACTGGTGCCAAAGCAGTTCGTCTGATCGACAAATGTGTCTTGACTCTTTGCCCTAAAGTGACCCTTGATCTGGGATATGAAGATCCACTGTAAATCCCTTCAGGGGCCTGGAGGTGTTATGGGTGCCTGTATTCCGGGGAAGTGTGTGCCTAAGGGTGACAGGAAGAATAAAGAGGCTCAGGGGTAACCAAATCCACCAAGAAAATAGCTGGAGACGGGGTGGCACATTCAGGGAGGTAGGCTGCTACTATAAAGATGGCGTGCATCACTTACGTTTGGATAGAACTACCTATAACTCAAGCCCCACACATCAGTGAACTAAACAGGAGAGAACTCTATTTCCTTCTTAGATAGATGTCTGGAGGCGGACCATCCCCAGGCCCTGTGACATCATCTGGAATGCACAGGATGGTGGCCATCAGTGCCCTTTCCCTCAGTTTCCAAATGCTGACCACATCTCTGGCCATCACAGCCTCGTTGCTGGAAAATACACAAGAAGCAAAGGAGGGCACAAAGCCTCCGTCAATATTTATGGTATCTCAATGACCACACTATAGTCACATGACCTCACAATCGAAAGATACTGGGAAATGTAATCTTTTATCTGGGTAACTATATTCCTAGATGATATTGGGGTTGTGTGAATTCGTGAACAAGGGGAGAATGGCTATTTGGTAGTTGAGTAAGAATCCACATCTTAGCCAGGCAGTGGTAGCACACACCTTTAATCCCAGCACTCGGGAGGCAGAGGCAGGTGGATCTCTGTGAGTTCAAGGCCAGCCTGGTCTACAGAGCAAGTTCCAAGAAAGGTGCACAAAACTATACAGAGAAACCCTGTCTCAAAAAACCAAAAGGAAAAAAAAAAAGGAATCCACATCTTATGATAGGTATTTAGATAATTCAGAATTCCAAACTACTAATGCAGCTTTATTTATTTATTCATTTATTCATTTAACTATTTTGGCTCTAGTCTTACATGGAGAATGTATACATAGATATGAGCTACATACACTATGCATATGCCTTGGATAGTAGCATCTCGTGTACTTGGCAACTTAAACTTCTGTCATGTGGTTTCAGGTTCCTTTGGAAAACCTATTAGATAGGATCATACGGTTATATAACCACAGTATAATTCTTCCTGGAAAGGAAGGGGGAACAGGGATTGACAGTATTTAATCTATAAAGACAGAGGAGAGAGAGAGAGAGAGAGAGAGAGAGAGAGAGAGAGAGAGAGAGAGAGAGAATGAAAATCTGCCAAACACTAACTAACCCAGCAGGGATCAGTAGCTCAAAACACAAACCACATTTAGCTTGTGTTTTGGTCAAACCCAGGAGCCTTATTCATCAGATCAGACATTTCTAGCACGAAGCTTCCCTGACAGGATTAGGAGTGATGTAACAGATTAATCCAGATGAAAAGATTCTGGATGGAAGAAGTAACAACTTCATTTCTAAGAGTATCCTGGTTTCAAACTCTCAAGTCCTAAGAGGTCGGTGAGTTTTGGAGTTTATAAGAAGAGGTGATGACTATTTTTCTTTGTGTCTCAGAAAGAAGTGCTTCAAAGAACTGCCTGAACTGAACTAGAGGGGTTGATCAAGCTCCCCCAACTGCCAGCCAGGGACATTCATTTAATGTATGGTGCTGAACTCCACTTTCAGAGAATTAAAAAACAATCCTGTTACTAGTTTGACCAGAAGAAAAATAAATGTGTCCAGTATTTTTGAGAATAGTGGTGCTTTCTGGTGAATTTCCAGAGATATGAATAATTTAAATGAAAATAAAGATAATAAAATCTGATTAACATTTATTTATTTTGTTTTTAAGGTCCCCCCCCCCCCATATAGCATCGAATGCTATAGCTCTCACAAAAAGGTGAGCCTGTTGGCGTTCCTGTGGATGTGTGATAATCTCAGTAAGGGATCTTATGTTCTGGCTTTCTGTGTACTACAGATTTATGGGAATTCTATCCAGATGAACTGTTTCCAAGTCACCTTTTAACCTAACTCTTATTTTAAAAATGCAACCACATTTACCACATTTATCACATTTATCTGTCAGTCATATTGATTAGGGAAACCAACGAATAAAGACAAAAATAGTCATGATTAAGACAAGGGTAGAGAAGCATGGCATCGGGGGAAGAGTGAGAACCACCTAAAGGATACCAAGATGGAGTTGAGATGGTGGTCAACCTTGACCTAGGGACTTATAGAACTGAAATAATTTCAAAAGAGCCCTAGAGCCAGGTATGGTGATACATACCTCAAACCCCACAATGAAACTCACTGGTTCACCAAGTTGGACTTCGGTGGTATCCCGTACTCTGAGCTGTCATGGGCTCCCTGTCTGTGTGTGTTATGTCTCCCCAGGAAATGTCTTATCACACAACAGTGTGGATGACCGGAGTGATGACCGAATGAGCATTACAACATACATGTGCACCTATTGCTTGTGAGTCATTTTGTATAGAAAACAGGCAATTTCTGTGCAAAAAAAGCCATCGGGAAAGGACTGCTGGATGATTTCCTTGAAAATGAGTGGCCAACATTCACTGCAACCAGCAGCAGATTTCTAGAAAAAGACATTTTCTTAGGCTTCCTGAACTTTTTTTTTTTCAACCACAGTTACTCCAGGCTATCAGGGAACTCTTACCATAGGCTACTTTTTGGTGTTTTTTTTTTCCTTTCCTCCTTAAAAAAATTATTTAGTTATTATGTGCATTGGTGTTTTGCCTGCATGTACATCTGTGTGAGGATGTCAGGTCCCCTGGAAGTGGAGTCACAGACAGTTGTGAGCTACTCTGTGGCTGCTGGGAATTGAACCCAGGTCCTCTGGAAGAGTGGGCAGTGCTTCCAACCACTGAATCATCTCTCCAGCCTCCCCCACCTCCCTTTTAGCGTTTATACTTCTCATTTTGTCTGCAAAGATGAAAGCCTTTCCTACTTTTGTTTATTCGGAGAACTCTCACTCTTTCCTTGGGCAGTTGGTCCTAAGGCCACTGTGCCTGTATGGTCTTTCTTCAGTATCCTGTTTAGAAGGCCTTTAGAGGAGGTAAGTGACTCTCTGGGTCATCTTAGGCACGGGACTCTAACTCCAGAGTGCCAATACAAAAATGCTAGCCAGAGTGATCACTATTAGCTCAGTACTAGCAATTATTTATTCATTTTTAGTCTTAAAAATTGTGTATGCATGCATCTGTATGTGGGTATGTGCATCTGAGTGCAGGTGCCTGTGGAGGCCAGAAGAGGGCGTCAGATCTCATGGAACTGGAGGGTTTTTTTTTTATCTTTTTATTGTTATTTTAATTTTATAATTGAATTTAATTTTACATATCAGCCACAGATTCCCCTGTCCTCCCTTCTCCCACCCCACCCTGCGCTCCCCCCAATTCACCCCCCCCCCCATTCCTATCTCTTCCAGGGCAAGGACTCCCCTAGGGATTCAGCTCAGCTTGGTAGATTCAGTCGAGGCAGGTCCAGTCCCCTGCTCCCTTCACTCAAGCTGAGCAAAGGAACTGGAGGTTTGAATTGCCTGATGTGGCTACTGGGACTTGAACGCCTCATCCTTGCAAGACTAGTACCTTCTTAACCTGTGACAAATTTCCTCCAGCCCTTATTTACTTTTTTTCTTTTCTTTTCTTCTTTTCTGTTCTCTTTCTTCTCTCTCTCTCTCTCTCTCTCTCTCTCTCTCTCTCTCTCTCTCTCTCTCTCTCTCTCTCTCTCTCCTTTTTTTTTAAATGTGAGTGCTCTTCATGTATGCCTGCACATCAAAAGAGGGCACCAAATTTCATTACAGATGGCTTTGAACCACCATGTGGGTGCTGGGAATTGAACTCAGGATCTCTGGAAGAGCAGCCAGTGTTCTTAACCGCTGAGCCATCTCTCTAGCCTCCTTTATTTACTTCTTATTATTAAATTTATTTATTTATTGTGATGTGTGGGACACGTGGAGGTCAGAGGACAACTTGTGGGAGTTGGTTCTTTCTCTCCACCAAGTGGGTTCCTGGAGTCGGACTGGGGTCGTGAGGCTTGATGATGACAAGTGCCTTCACCCGCTGAGCCAGCCCACATCTAGCGTTTTTCAGCAGCTCAAAGACAACAAAGCCTTACCTAGGGAGGCGGGGAGAGAATTGTACGCATGCTCACAGCCCAGGGGCAGGATTTTCCCCGCGCTCTTGCACGCAGAGCCGGAAGTGTCAGCCGGTGAGTCGCCCGGAACTGAGTTGTCACCACTGTAGGTTTCTGTCCGGAAAAAATAACCAAACCGCCCGTAGGGCAGCAACATGGCGTGGTCCGGTAACAAGGTACTGAGAGCTGGGCTTTGTGCCTTACCCAAGCCTGGGATCTGCAGAGGGTGGTTCGGTAGCAGGAACTGTGGGGTCGCCGCTGTGCCAGCATTGAAGGATGGATGCCCCAAAGCGAAAAGCTTGGGGTTTGGAGTTCTGCATTTGAGCCTTGTCCACCTTCACGCCCCGTTAGCCTCCCTCTGGCCTCACGTGCTCCTCATCCTCCCTCCCTCCCTCCCTAGCTGCCTCCCTTCTACTTTCTATGCGCTCCACCTGCTAACGCGGGCGCCTCTTAACCGCCTCTGAACCTGGGTTCTTAAAATCTATATAGGAATTATATAAGTTGTCCAGGATCGTCCCCTACGTGACAGGCTTGTAAAACGAGATAGGGATTCTGTGAATAAAATAACTCAAAATAGAGCGTCGTATTATTACCTTCATCATAATTTAGTATCTCGAATTTATTGAAAGCTTACTGTGTGAAGCACAGAACTAAGCCTTTTATTCCCATTTCATTAAATCTTCACACCAACCCCTGAGATGAACATTATTGTCCTTCGCTTGTAAGTAGGAAAACCAAGGCACGAAGAATTGAAGTGATTAGAACATGGTCACCCTTTCCATAGGTGGTAAAATACAGATATGAACCCAAACCATTTTCAGAGCCCTGAAAAAAAAAATCCTCTGCATTGCAAAGAATCTATGACCCCCAGCTTCCTAGGAGGGTAAAAGAAATTACAGTGTGCTTTAAAGTGGTATTTTGATCACCAGAGAGAAATATAATTGCGATTCCTTCATTCTTCTACTCACCCATTCATGTAATACAGGCAGACAAGATAGGGGTTAACGGATCTCTGTTTTCTTCCACCTCCATTTGGGAAATTTTGATTAAATTGTGAACTCATAATGATGTTGCTCTTCTCCTTGGTTCTTTCAGTTGCTGAAAACTTTGTAGCTCCCATGAAGGGCTTATTTGTGGCAGATGTACTTCCAATAAAATCCTGGCAGGTTATATTGCTTCAGTGTAGGAAAGAGTTGCTATACTCTCCCAGTCTCTGCCCTGGTTTTCTTACGGCTTCCAGAAAAGAATTTAAAGTATCACAGACCATTCTTCCGGACCAGAATTTTCATACTGTGAAACTCTTTGATGTCTTTTTCTGAATCTCTAATTCTTGACAAAAGACTTCTGGTCCTGTAGTGTTTGCTAATTCAAAAGTAGGTTTTGTGGACATATATTAGATAAACACAGCCAGCATATTTTGTGATTCTTCTTAAAAAAAGATTTTTTTTTATACTGAGCGAATCCCTGTGGGGTGTAAATTGAATTCCTCTCAAAGGTTCTCTGTAGTTTATTACTGCTCGTCCCCAGATAAATTGTCATTGCTTCTGAAATCTGTTAATATGACCGCATCATGTGGTTCCTTTTTTTTTTTTTTTTTTATGAACAAAGAGAAAATAGTGTTTCCTTTGTGTGTTGTAAAAGTCAAATTCAGGAGTCAACTCCCTAGTATAGGAGCTCATCGAGGTTTTGCAAACGCCTCTGGAGACAGGTGGTGGCTGACTCAGAAAAGAGCGCCTTCTTCATTGGTCACTTTTAAATCTTTCTCTCGTAAGATAGGATGCCCAGAATTGCCCACAGTTTGTCTGATCAGCACAAAACACAGATGAGACTGCTAGAATCAAGACTGTTAAATTCTGGAAACAGCCTTACACCTCACGTAGTCCGGCAGTTTTATGTGCGACTGAATTAACAGTGAGCTTAAGTGACATTCCCACGGGGTCCAAGCTGATTAACTGGTGGAGATGGGACTAGAACCTGGGTCTCTGGATTGCTAATCTAGGATTTTTTTTTCATCAAAAGACCCTTCCTTTTCTTCCTTGAAGACATTATCATGTTGTTATATCTTAACATGTTTGTGAGGATAGAATGTTGAAGCTGTATCACCTTGTTGACTCAAATCTATAGTTTACTTTAAAATTATGAGTTATTAGTTCAGGTCTTTTAAAGTTTGTATTTGAATAAATTTTGTATGCAAAATACATAGAGTTTCACATGTGTCCGTTTTGCATTTAGTTTGTTTCATTTCCTTAGTCTCTGTGATAATACTAATCATCAACTCGATAGACTGTAGAATCACAGGGCGAGACGGGCCTTTGGGCCTGCCTCTGGCGGAGATTGTCTTGATTATGGTAATTGATGTGGAAAGACCCATCTTAACTATGGGCGCGACCATTCTCTGGTCTCTGGGTGTTGTGATGTGGACAAAGCAGACCAGACACTAGTTTGTGTGCATTCATTGTGCCCTCTTGAGTGGATGTAATGTGACCGGCTGATGCCTTGACTCCCTCACTGTGATGAACTATTACTGGGAACTGTGAGCTAAAATAAAGGCTTTCTCCCTGAAGTTTGTTGGGGTGGTTTATCACAGCAGTAGGAAGAGAGTCCCCGATATACGATTGCTATTTAATGGCCTGGTGCTGTTGCTTATGACTGTAGCTTCATTACTCACGT